TAGTTTGTGTGTGTATGTGTGCTATTGATACAGGCAGGTGGTTCTTATGCGAAGACACCAGCAACACACGGGGAAGTCAACTCACCGAGACTGGAGAGGTCCACGGTGTACTTTTGGTCGTTTATCTCGAGCGTGAAGTTGGAGGAGAGGAGAAGTTCAATACTGTTGGCTTTGGCGATGCGAAGACCATCTGCAAGTGCATGTTGTGAAAAGGTCAAAGCAGACTGGCATAGGAAACATAATTACACACAATGATTTAAGGACTGGCATCAGTCCAGCCCAGTTGAGCAGCAGAACTGGTCTACTTTATTCCACAACCAGTTCAACTTACTTGACCAACAGTCATACAATAATAATATTTTTAGGAAAAAAGGTCTTATTAATTTAGGGCAAGGAGTAAAAATAGCCGCTTTTAGCATACGCGATGCAGTGTCGGACAAGAGTCGAACAGGGTGGAATGTTTGAGACAGAAGGCAATTTATGGAAGATGTTTCTGACCAAAATAAAAGACCATTAGCTGCACAGCTTTGCGTGCCTGTTTTGGGGCCTAATGTCTAAGTTTTAAACCATAAGTGCGGGCGGAATTTGGGTAGGCGTTAGTGTCAGTTAGAAAATAGATGCTCGAGTTGAAGACCGGTCTTAGCAGCTGCAAGGAGACTCAAACACTGCTTTCGATTAAGTAGTGGGTGTCGGAGGAGGGAGTCGACCAGCGTGGAATTGTGAGTAAGGAGAGTTTTCAGGATTGCAGGCAATTTATCGAAACTGTTTCCGATCAAAATGAAGGACCATTGGGTACATAGTGTTGCGTGTATACTCTGGGGCGTGATATGCAAGTAAGTGGACGAATGAGGATATTTCAGCAAGCATAGACTGAAAGTGTGGACGGAACTTGAATAGGCGTTAATGCGAAAGGAAAAATAGGTGCTGGAGTTGAAGATCTGTCTTAGCAGATTCAAAAATTTCTGAAACATGCCTTATGCCCGAAACTCTATTAAGGAGTACTGGTTGCAAAGAGTGGAAACATTATTTGCAAACAGGAAACTGGATACTCTCGCCAACGTTTTTCACCCCATACTTACAGACGTGGAATATGGAAGTAAGGTAAAAGTCCAATAGATTAGAAGACAACATCCCTTACCACTGATAGGTTGGTGAAATGTTTAAGAGCTGCAAGGTCTATGCTACTCACAATTAATGAGCTGTAGCAAATCAGCACCCACTGCCGCAATTAAAAAACAAATAAAACCTATTTTATTGACATCAAGCACATCTAACTCGATTTACGGTCTTGCTTTAAACGCTTCCTGCAGTGCATTTTAATTAGTCATACACTCCAATAACTGGGACCGCGCCCACATGCTCAAGTAATCAGCAGTTAACTTCCGCCGGTAGAAGTCTCAGTCTGTCGGCTGCCAACACCAAACGGAGCACTGATTGGTTTAGACACTATCGTAATCTAATTGGCCAGGGTTGCCCGGTCAACCAATTGGCACAAAGTGTTCAGCCGACGTTGGAAACAATAGAGCCCTTGAGACAACGGGTGCCGGGACAAGGTCACGCAAAGATTGCGCGAGCTCATTGCGTGGGCTCTCGGAGGTATGCTCGACGCGGATTACGTCAGGAGCCCTGAGATGCCGATAGCGCATAGCACGACTGAGTGACGAGGTGTAGGCCAGGGTGTGTGTCTGCGTGTGTGCAAGAGAAGCACTGTGACGCGGCTCGGCGTGCAGCGCCTGTCTAAGTAACTAAGTGCGTACGTACGCTGAGGGCGGTCTCTCCGAAGCTTACATGAATAATGCACCGTCTGAGG